ATGCTGAAGCAGCTGCAGCTAGCTTAGTAGTGCTGCACATTAACCCGTTGCACCACCAGGGAGGACCCCGGACATGTATTCTTAATCATTAGTCAGAAAGACTCTTCAGAGAATCTGGAAGCTGGAGAGTCCAAGATCAAGATTTTGGCCTGTTCCTGGCTTACAGATGGCTGCTTTTTCACTCTATGTTCACACAGCCTTTCTTATATGTGCATAGAGGTATCTCTCTTTTGCTTCCTCATCTTATGTGGTCAATATTCCATCAGATTAGGGCCCTACTGGTACAGCCTCATTCGACTGTAATTACCACCTAAAACTCTTATCTCTAAATACTGGTATATTGGAGGCTAAGCCTTAATACAACATATGAATTTTGGGGTGAGCATAAACTAGGGAGAAGGAGAAGAGTATTCCAGATGAAGAAAAACTATGCTCTCAAAAGACCTAAAATGTAGGTTATAACAGATATGTGCATCTGGCCAATCTAGATGAAATAAGCAAAGTAATGATCTCTCCCAACAAAAGTTAACTTCTGTAACTGATTCTCCCTTCAGACAAAGTATTTGCAAAGACTGTCACCTAGTGGCAATAGACAGGAGGTAGCTATAAGGCAAGTATGACTGAACAGATACTTACTTGGGGTGCTGACTCATACATTCCCCTTTTTCCTTTTTGTTTACCCAACTGGTTCTTTAACTAAAATATACTAAACTCACTATTAAAGTATCAAGGAAGTCATTACTTCTCTCCACTGAATTCTCTCTCACACACACACAGAGTAGTCTGACATTTTCAAACCCTCAAAGAAAGAATAGTTTTATCTCATCCCATTTTGAGTCAGACCAAATACTTAGTGACAAAGTATAATGAAAAATATAAAGCATGACCGGTGAATATGTTCTGTCAGCAGTGTAGATGTGGGTCATGGAACAGGATAAACAGTTCCAATTAACTGAGGTACTGACAGAAAATAAAAGGAATATGCAATGGGTACTAGAAGATAGGAAATCATAAACAGCAACTGAAGACTGCTGAATAGTTGTAAAAATTAGATTTGTAAAAACCCACCAATACATATGTATACATGCATACATCCATATTTTAAATTTAAACTAACCAGAATAGGTACTACTGAGCAGGTACTATTCTTGGCAAGTAAAACCCAAAACTGATAGAAACATTTGGTCTTGACTCTGATTTAAGTGCTAAAATCACCTGGAGAAATAAACTTCATATGTGAGTCATAATAATGTGAGATGGTGCCAAGAAAGGGCTGTTTAGATTCCACACTTAATAGCAGGCACCTTCCCATAGGATAAAACTTCCTTTCAGTTCAGCTACATGTTTTTATCAGAGGAAATACCACTAAGTAAGCAACTTTTATTTTTAGCCTCATAAAACCCTAAACATAGATCGGGAATTTGATAGTTTAATTAATCCACTCAAACTTAAGACATTAATTATTATTGAGTGTATTGGTTAAAACTCTTGATGTTACAAGAAAACTCTTAACTGATGCGATTTGAGTGAAAACTAAAAAGTTCAGGAACATCTCCAGCTTTATGAGAGTTTGACTGATGTCGGCCAAACTATTTCTCCTTTCTATTTATCAGCTTTGCTTTTGACTCCATTTCCAGAAGACTTAAGCTTCACACACCCAAGATGGCAGCAGGCAGCTCTAGGCTGTAACATTTCAGTACAGAAGGGATTAACAAAACCCATTTTTTCAGGATTCCTCATATTTCATTGGCTTAAATTTAGCCACATGCCAAATTAGAAATTGTATAGGGGAAGTAAATTTTTCTGTTTTTCCCAACACTTAAATGCCCTTATGATTAGTGTGCATTCTCTACTATAAAATCCCATTTTTTATTATGTAAGCTAAAAAAAACAGATACATATGCCTTTTGCCCATCTGACCCTGACATTTAGCACAAGGCATGTGCACCTGTCTTGGGTGTGTGAATCTGCCATCTGGAACTGTAAATCTTAAGTTATCCAAACAAGCAGGCATCAGAGAGCACTGCTTTCATTTGTGACACCTAGTTTCCAGTGGCAGCACCCTGTCCAGAGAGTACCTAATGGATGACCTAATTCTGATATGGTGTTTCTATGCTAATGCTGTTCCCTTTCCTGGAACCAACTCCTCCTTACTTCTGTGCTCTTCAAATGCCACCTGCACTATGAAACCTTAAGGAAAATACCCAGATGAAATAGACCTCTACCATACCACAACTCCTTTAGTGCAGGGTATATACCCTACATACAGAATTCATTCACAATCCCACAGTTCTTCATATTGGCTTTTTATCCCCTACTTACAGAATTCATTCACAATCCCACAGTTCTTCATATTTGGCTTTTTATCCCCTATTGTACAGTGAGCATTTTCTGGAGAGGAATGAGAATTATCACATCTCTGGACTTCTTCCATTATACCCAGTAGATGTAACTAGCTAATATTCTGTAATTTTAAGAGTTAGGTTTGGAGACAGCATTAATAATAATTAGGTCTATCACCTCACGTAATAAAGGAGAAGAATGAAGTTCAGACAAAATTAAGATTGACTAATTTCAGATAGTCATGATTGGCATGGACCAGACCAGTATTTTCCTGGCTCCTGGGCTGAGGAATTTTTTTAAGTGACTGAAAAAAACCCCTTGTGGCCTAGGGGTTAAGTCTCAGTGCTATCACCTCTACAGGCAGAGTTCCATCCCCCACCAGTCTGCTGACCTACATATGGTGCTACAGACTTCTCTTGTCTCTCGCACTGCTCCCCTCAGCAGTGTATTTCAGTAGCTCTGCCTGTTCTGCTTCCCACTCTGTCTCTGGTGAGCTCTCTCCCCCCTGCCCCCCGCCCCAACACACATCCCAGTTCCATGCACAAATAAATAACCTGCACTGATCAGGAGAGGTCTGCCATGCCATGTGGATCACCTTTGGGCTGGAGATCAAACTGGCACTAAAACAGCTGTGGTGGCTTGCAGTGCTGCACTTTAACCCACTGCGCCACCAGGGAGGGCCCAGGATCAATCCTTTATAACCTGGTCTAGCTCGGTCAAAAACAAGTAGGCAAAGAAAACTTGAGAAAAGGAAAGAAGTCAGGTGTGGCATCTGAATAATGGAGGAAAAGAATAGATTTATGTAAGGAGGTGAGGGCAGAAGGAACTAAGATGACCATTAACCCCGTCATAGAGCTCCCTGTATCAGACTCCTGAGGGAATATCCAAGGTACAGACCTGAGGGTAAAGATACAGAGATTGGGCCCCTTGTGAGATTCCACATAGTTATCCAAAATTAGCAGCAAACAGGCCACTCCACAGAGTGAGCCCCTCCGAAAGGGAAAAGGACTAGATCAGGGCAGTTACTGCACTGGCTCAGGGCAGCTGTCCTCTGCCCACCTGTGCCTATGCAGATGTTTCTTTCCACCTACTTTCTCCCTCTGCAGGCCAGCAGCATCCTGTCTACCTGTGACCTGTACCCTGCCAGGACTTCTTCTCTGTACTGACCTTCCTCAGTGGAGGCCGCTCTCCTAAGGCCGCCCACCTGAAACCATGAAGGCCTCTCTCAGCAAACCTGTCCCTTTGCGGCAGCTCCTCTTGCTGGATTGTGCCTATGCAAATATCCAGTACACCTGTACTTTTCCCTAATAAACCTGCTCTTGAAATATAACTGAGTATCTGTCTTATGGAGAAACTTGCCAGGGGAACTTGCTGCCTGCCACTGAAAGGGGAGCTCTGGTGAAACCTTTCCCAGAGTGAACCCAAGGACCCTGAACACACTCCCCGCCCCACCAAAAAAAAAAAAAATTCCTATGACTTAAACAGCGATTCACTTGTGAGCTTAGCTGCTGTCAAATGTGAAGTGAGAACTATTAATGAATTTTGCAAAATAAAACACACTAGTATGTGGCCAACAGCCATTTCATTGCTCTGGTGGGAACCAAAACCTTAAGTGTAAAAGGGAAGAAAAAGAAGATACTAAGTCTCAATTTTTTTTTCCTTTGGAAATTTTGTTATTTAGTAAAACAAATGGACAGTAGCTGACTAAAGTCAAGAAGGTAAGTATATTTTGAAATGGAGGTCATTCTTTGCTCATAGGGAGGATTCAACAGGGAAGAAAAGAACCAATGATGAAAGAGAGAAGCTCTAAGGCAAATCCTCAAGTGGGAAAGAAAAAATGACTCAAAAGTACATCATGATCTACGCAGGAATGGACAGAACTCGGAAATGTTCAGTAAATGCTGGCTATTAGTGTATGATCATTTCAGTTTTGAGTATTGAATAGGCATCGAGTTCATAAAACATGTCCATCTACTAGCACTTGGGTTCCAGCTGTAGCAGCGTCAGTCTAAATTCTTGTTCTATCACTTGCCAGATTTTTTCTTTGGACTTTGTTTTCCTGTTAAGAGTGTAAAGTAGGCTATTTCTGAGCTTAGTGAGATTAAACCGTGTAAAATTCTGCATTGTACTGGCTCGTAACAAAAATTCAAATGTTAACGCCTTTGTAATAATTTTCATTGTCTTACAATTGTCACGCATGCTACTATGCGTTTTGGCACTCTCACCGATTGCGATTAAAGGGCCAGAAAGGACCACAGGGCGGGGTCCTGGGCGCGCGCACTGGCCAATTCGCGGGTGGGGTGCGTGAGGCCGGCACCCCTCTGAATTCCCCACCGCCTAACCTTCTAGTGACACCGTCTCTCCAGAAGGCACTCTCGTAAAAGCAAAACAAACAAAAACAAATAAAACGAGGCAACTAAATGAGGAAACCGCCACTAAAGCGCCGAGGAGTCAAACTGAGGCGGGAAGTCATGCGCCTGCGCCCAGCCACGGCGCTCTCCTTGCACCTGCGCAGTGGCTGCAGCGGGAGCGAGCCGCGCAACTGGAAGTCCCGCCCCGTAGCTTCCAGACTCGCGGCTGGGCGGGGCGTCTCGTGAGAACTGCTGGTTATCGCGGGAACTGCATTCAAAAAGCCCTGGCGCTTACCCGAGAGCTGAGTAAATGGGCAGATTCCTCAGTAGTGAGGTGGACTTGGGGTCACGAACCTGGGCACCCTGAACTCGCCTCACCGGTGGTCAGCTGCCGCGGAGGAGCGAGGGGGTGAGGAGAAGGGTACGAGCAGGGGTCTACAGGGAGGTGCCCTTGGAGAGGCGCGGTGGGGAGCGGCGAATGGGGCGTCTGGGAGGAGAGCAGGGCTGAGGGAACCCGGGGCCTGGCTGTCGGGCAGGCCCTTTACTCAGAACAGCTTCTGATTAGGCAGGTTCGGAGCGGGCCTCAGTCTGCAGCGGGGGTCGCTTCGCTAACCACCCCCCCCCGGGGGGGGGGTCGCATGAGTGTGGGAGGCCTGGGCCCCAGAGGGTTAACTTACTAGGTCTGCACCGGCCTGTGCTGGAGCCACTTGTCACACGGGACAGTCCGAGTTGAGATTCCTTGTTTGGAAACTACACGCTGAATTTTGGAGACAACTTCAAAAAGCAATAACTCGCTAATCATTTTTGTCATGATTGCATATTGAAACAATAGGTGCGAAGCATTGGAATCATTAAAATAGTATTAAAATGGATCTTATCTGTATTTATTTTTTAGAAGAGTGCCTCCTAAAAAAGTAACTCACTGATGTGTCTCGCCCTTTATTTCTAGGGAGCAGTGCTGCCTCAAGGACAGCAGGTGTCAATTTCTACCGATTGTTTTACTTCCATTACAGGATTTGATAGCCAAAACCCTGTTGAGTAGCTGTTACTCTTTTTGTTTCATAAATGACAGCGCAAAGTATTAAATAAGTTGTCCAAATTCATTGTAGCCACTGAGTAGTAGCGGTAGGGTAAGAACTAAGTAAGCCAACCTGATTTCTAGAGCTCTGCTCTTGTCTCAAGCTTCATCACTTACTATCTGATGACACTGGCCAAGTTAGGTAACCTTTCTGTGCTCCACTTGTAAATGTGTAAAATGGGGTAATACCTTCTATGTTCAGAGGTGTTCAGAGGATTAAGATAAGGTGTGGTATATGCAAGGCACCTCCACACAATATTGGGCACATGTTAGCTGCAGTTGTATTCAGCCCTGGCCATCTCTTTTTGCAGGTTGACAGATTTGTTATTTTCCGTTAGACCTTTGCTGAAAAGTCATTTTCTCAGGGAAATCTTCCTTAACTATATTTTCCTCTAAACTGCCCCTCTCCTACCAACGAGAAAGGACAGCACCCCCATTTTACAGTTTCAGGAGGCATCTTTCCCTTTTGCAATTTATCACATTTGTAATTTTGCAGCTCATTTTGATGTAATGCCTTTCTATTAGTAAGCCGTAAGAATAGAAAACAGGGATATTGTCTAATTTGGGGGTGATCGTTGTATCCTTGGCAATAGGATAGTACTTGACACATAATAGGGGGTTTTTTTGAGTGGATGAGAGCTCGTTTAAACTTCATTGGACATGGCTGGTTAGGATGTGTTGGCTGGCTTCAGTTTTCCTTTGGTAAATATTAATGACGGTAGCACTTAGGCTCAGCCTAATACATTTGATGTAGTCCCTGGAAGCAGTCTTCCTGGCTAGTGGTAAATCCTCAGCAAGTATTTTTTGTTATTAACAGTGCAACAGTTGACTGACCTGCCTTTTCATGTACAGGCTTTGAAAAGTTCATTTTACAGTAGCTAACTTTCAGCAGTGGATAGTATACATTTTTTTTTAAAGATTTATTTATTTATACAGAACTGGGGTACAGGCCAGAGATGCAGAGGGTGAGAGGATTCACCAGGGACAGAGTGGGGAGCATAACAGGCAGATCAAGGAAGTACACTGCTGAGGGGTGCAGTGGGCGGGTCAGGAGAGGTCTGCACTGCCATGTGGCTCTCCTCTGGGCAGGCAGGATCGAACTCATGCGAAGTGGCTTAAGCTTCTTAGTGCAGTGCTTTGCCACCAGGGAGGGCCCAGATAGTATACATTTTTAAAACTCAATCCCCTTCATCCTCACTCTTAAAGACCTTGCTTCCTAATTCACTGACAAGTTGAAACAGTTACAAGGACACACTTAATGCAGGGTTCCATTATTCTTGTTTCCTTGTTTACATTATCTGTATCCATATACTTTGTTTTCCCTTACTCTGCATGAAATATTTTCCTGTCTAAAATTAGCCCCAGCTCTTTAGAAAGCATCCTTTTTATTCATCACTTCAACATTTCTCCATTGTCCACCATATCATCAGTTTTTCATCTTAGGTCTATCCCATGACATTCACATTTTTTGTTAAAAAAAAAAAAAACACTCGCAGTGAATGTGTAGCTCCATTTATCTGTTCTCCTTTGCCAGAAACCATACTTGCTGTCACCTGTTTGTGTACTGTTCTCTCCTCAACCCATTCTAATCTAATCCCTGTCTTTTAGGTTCACCAGCAACTGAATTCAAGTAAATGGCTGTTTCTCAGTTCTCACTTTAATTGACTTAGCAGAAGAATTTGGTCACTCCCTCCTCTTTAATATACTGGCTTATTGATTTCCAGGGTAGTACTTGCTCTTGGTTTTCCTCCTCTCTCACTTTTCCTGCCTGAGTATATTTTGATAGGTGCTTTTTCCTTTGCTATCTTTCCTATTAATGGTACTCAGTCGTGATCCACTCCTCTTTAGTTTTATTTATTTGCTGGTGATAATCAAGTTTCAAACATTTATCCCAATTACAGCCACATTTGTATATCCAGCTTAGACCCACCTATGCACATAGCCAATTGCTTACTTGCTATCTTTCATGTCCAAAATTTAAGCCCCTTTCTAAGTACTCTTTACGCCCAGGTTTTAATATCCCAGTTGATACCAAATCTATTCTAGTCAAGCCAGAAGACATTGAGGCGTTTTTCACTTTGTTTTCACACATCTCACATTTCATTTGTCAGAAAACCATGTTGACTTTATTTAAAAAATACAGACTTATAAAATCCCTTACTACCTTCTGTGCAGTCACCCTAATCTAAGCTATAAACTCACCTTCTAGCTTGCTCCTTGCTCCAAATTATCCACCTAATAGCCAAAATGTTCCTTTTAAATGTACCCAGTATCTACTATAAATTCTTAAAATGACCTGATCTGCCTACTCTTCCTATTACCTGCCTTTTCCCCTTATTATCTACTCTGACTGAAATCTGACCTTGTCCAAAGGAAGTCTTTGGACTTCCTTCCCATCTTATTGCTTCCCTTCTATTTACAGTTTCTGTTCAAAAATAGGTATATGGCCAGTTCTGTCATCCTCTGCAAGGTTTTTGCTCAGTCACCTGAGCGCTCTTTTCCCCTGTAACTTATTTTAAATTTCATCCTGCCTCACCATTCCTAGCTCTTCCAGGTTCCCTTCTCCTGTTGTTTTTTTTTTTTTTTCCATTTCACGTTTTGTTTTAAAGATTTGTTTATTTGTACATACAGAACTGGGGTACAGACAGGCCAACAGGCCAGAGGTGCAGGGGTGGTGAGAGGATTCACCAGAGACAGAGAGGGGGACAAAACAGGCAGATCGATGAAGTACACTGCTGAGGGGAACAGCAGGCGGGTCACCTCTGGGGTGGGGATCGAACTCCTGCTCATGTGCCTTTAGCTTCTTAGTGCTGTGCTCTAACCCAGTGTGCCACCAGGAGGGCCCCCATTTCACTTTTTAATGTACTATACTATTAATTAGTTTTTATCTTCGCCCACTAGAAAGTAAGTTTCATGAAAGAAGAACTTTTTTGGTGTCCGTTTGCTCTCTATAACCTACCCAAGGTGCCAAGAAAGGAGTCTAGTGCATAAGACATTCAGGAAATGTAGATCGAATGAATGAATGCATTGACTGGAGACAATGGTGTTTTAAGAAGTTAACACCATTATGATAATAGAGAAATCGTGGACTTATTTGTTCTTGCCTTACTTTGTTAATCTTAATCAAAGTTGCCTTTTCTACTTTAAATTGCTATCATTTAACTATAAAGTTTCTTTATTTCTTTCATTGTATTTTTAATTTAATTACCACTAAAGTAATTAACTGTGAAACCTGTCCTACTTTAGCATTCAGGGATACTTAACACAGAACTGAATAATTTCCTGATACTGAATTTCCTAGAAGCAAAATTAAATGTAAATTTGTCCTTTTTGTCCACATAACCCATTTGTCAGACCTTGCTCTTAGAACAAGAACATAAGTTTGACCATTTACAAGTCAGGAAGAAAAACATTAACACCTTTTTTACAGTGTCATATTGAATATGTATGCTTGTAAATATATGTTTACCTATGTACTGAATACTATTTCCAGTAAGAACTATGTATGCATACATATATTTCTTTTATTATTGGTATTGTGTGGAATTTTTTGATAAACAAATACTTTTTATTTATTAAGTACCTGTTTCTAGCAGGCTGAAAAAAGAAAATGGAGGCAGATATTGCAGATCTCCGATGCAAGCTAAAAGAGGTTGAAGAAGAGCGACTAAAAGCTGCACAGTATGGTTTACAACTTTTGGAGAGCCAAAATGAATTGCAGAATCAGTTGGACAAATGTCGTAATGAAATGATGAACATGACCGAGGTAGTATTCTTGACTCTGTTCACAAATGGTGGGCTTAAATATTGACAGTTTGTGTTGTTTAGCAATTATTATTATTTTATCCTTTTCTGAAGATACTAGATCTGATTTCTACCCACCCCCTACCACATAAGAGGGATGAACTAAATAAATTCCTAATGTTATTTTCTAACCCATTATATTTGAATTTGAAAATTAAGTTCCATTTGCTCTCTTTACTATGTACTGGATTTTAGATTTTGTTGTCTGCACATTTCCTAGTTGACCTCACTTATATCATAGCTTTAGGTAATACTTAAATGCCCCAAGATACAACTCCAGTCCTTCTAGTTCTCCAAAGTCTAGACTTGGATATTCAACTGCCCACTTAGGGACATCTCAAGCTTAACATAAACAGTTGATTTGCTGCTTGCTAACCTAATAGTCACTTGAAATTTTCTTTTGCTTACTTAGTATAATAATACTCATCCAGTTATTTGAGCTAAAAATCTTAAGAATTTTGTACACTATCTTTCTGATCCTTATTTTCTCATATTTAATCCATAAGTAAGCTCTAAGAAGTTGACCTACAAAACTACTATCTATGCTGTTGTCACTGTTTCAGACCACCATCATCTTCTCCCTAGAGTCCTTTGTTAGCTTGCTTTCCTTATTGTCATTCATAACACCCATTCTTCATACAATAGGCAAGTGGTCATTGAAGAATGTACAAAAAATCATGTCGTCTATCAGCAAAAATATGTAGTGGCTTCCAGTTATATTTACCACAGAATGTAAGTTACTTACTTGGGTTTGCAGATACCTGTAAGACCTGACCTCTCCTGATCTCATCTCAAAAGGCTTACCCTTTTTTAGCCTTGACATTAGTGGTTGACCTCCTTAGTTGCTCATTTCTCACTATCATGTATTGAACCTTCAACCTTCAGTTTTCTGTTAAATATCTTTTCGACATAGGCTTTCCCTGAGTGTAGTTATTCACTCAATTCTTTGCATTGCTAATTATCTTTAGATTATTGATGCTCCATGAAAGGGCAAATTTTGTTATTTTCACTGCTTTATCCATAATGTATGGCAATATTTATTGAAACAATAATTTTATTTAGTTAAAGCTCATTACAATTTAAACTTGGATCTCAAACTTTAAATATAATAGATAAAAATAATTAATGTTAACCCTTTTCTTCTCATATAGTACTATCCTTAACCCAGAACTCAATGTCACTTCCTTTTAAAGGCAAAGTGACAATTATAAGTACTTTATGTGTGTGTGTGTGTGTGTGTGTATGTATGTATATTTTAGTTTATTTTTACATCATTTTGTGCATTTTTCCATCTCATTTGCAATCCCTTTGGGCTTCTCATCACCAAATCACCCATGTGCCATCACCAGAGTCCAGTGCATTCCCCCAATGTTTTTGGTGCCATCCCCCACTCCACCCCCACAAAATGTCTGGTTTTTATTATAAGTACTTTTAATAGTAAAATTCAAACCATGCCATATAGAATCATTTTGGGAAATAAATTATCAAATATGTTCTTACTGAGTAATTAAGCTTCTCTTTGTATTCTTTTAAAGCTTGGTGAAATTTTTGAAATGATGTACTTTTTATCTTTAACTTCCCTATTAATATTCAGAAGTTCTGTATCGTCTTACAACTGTATTCATTCAAGTAGTCATTTTGAGAGCATCTCTCAGATAACATCTAAAAGTAAGGTTAGCCTAGTATTGCTTTTTATACTTAATCCACTTTTTATTTAAGACTGGAATACAAAGTTATTCCAGATTTAGTATGTGTTAACTTAGCAGCAAATATGTGAGACAGGGTTAAAAAAGAAAAAGGTGAGAACTACCTATATGTGATGGCTTTCAGTCATTTTATGTAACTGAGTTATAATTGAATCTGTTTCCAGAATTATGAACAAGAAAAATATAGCCTTCAGAAGGAAGTGGAACTCAAAAATCGAATGTTAGAAAGTTTAAGTTCTGAATGTGAAGCTATTAAACAACAACAAAAAATGCACCTTGAGAAATTAGAAGAACAACTGAGCAGAAGCCATGGACAGGAAGTGAATGAACTAAAAAATAAGGTTTGGATATTCATGTATTTCAGGAAAACAAAATGACTCTAGCTTGTGCAAACATCTGTAAATTTTAAGTGACAAAGATTTTCTTAGAAACATCTGTGCAGATTAGCTGAGATCAAGGCCTCTATCATCTTAATGTTGGGAGTGGGAACACTTAAGAAACAAGAGTTGGCCAAAGGAACTTGTATAATGTTGTGTAAATAACATTCTGCTAGTTAAATTAAATTACTTAATTTTAGTGACTGAATATTTGTTAGAGCTTTAGTTTCATAACCTTGTTTTTGATGCTTATAGTCTCTCAGATACAGTAGTCCCCCTCACTTTCACTGTACCTAGAAGTGTGCTTTCTCATATGGCAAGAAAACAATAGTTTCTTGTAAATTAATGTACATTGGAATTGATACTTTGTAATTAGTTTATTGAAGATAAACTAATACATATGTCCTAACTGTTACAACGACTCCATAAAAGAAGGTAGCATTATTATCTCCACAAAACGTAAGAGAAAACCAATATTAAACAGGTCAAACATATTGACCAAAATTAGATTTTCAGCCAACATTTGAATTAAGCCTGTAACACTTGTAAAGTCACTTTACTTAATATAAGGACATGTTTTGTCCCCATTTCGAGTATAAATACAAAATTTATAATGTGTTCATATATGGTATTGATAGTTTCTGTTCAGTGTTCAAGGATTGTCCATTCTCTTTTAAGTTGAAATAAAACTACTTATTTATCTTTTGAAAAAGAACAGCATTTTCATGTGATGTATTATTGGTGAATTATATGAAAATGAAATCTATGAATTGGTCATTTAGGCTTCCCTTCAACAAGTGTCTTAAGAGCTTTTAATTTTATGATTTGACTTTTTCCCCCCTCCACCAAACTCTGCTCATTCCCCCTACCTTCCTCTAACCTTTCTCCCTTTTCCTCATTCCCTCTGGTAGACATTATCTTTTTGCCAAGTTCAGACTTTTGTTTTTTCTATTGTTTGTGTGTAATTTTTGTTAGATATTTATATTATGTAGATGAGTGAAACCACCCAAAATTTATCTTTTACTAGAACTGATTTCACGTAGTCACTTCAGAGTCCATTCATTTTGTACCAAATACCAGTTTCATCTTTCTTCACAGCTGTGTAGTATTCCATTTAATATATGCTCCATCATTTTTCTAGTCATTCCTCTATTGAAGGGTACTTGGATTGGTTCCATATTTTTACAATTATAAACAGTGCTGCTAGGTAGGTAGGTGTAGCTATAACTTTTCACATTAAATTTTTCACACTATTTGAACAATTATCTAATAGTATGGTATTGCTGCATCTAACAAAGAATTTCCATTCTTACTTTCTCGAGAAACTTCCATGCTGTTTTCCAAAGGACTTGTGTCAGCTTGTATCCCTTCCAGCAGTGGATGAGAGTTTGGTTTTTTACCACTGCCTTGTCAACATTTGCTAATTTTGTTCTTTTTTAAAAGTTGTCTAGCCTTGGCCACATAGGAAATCCTGGTAGAATTACTATGTAGTAAAAAATGGGTTAATGAGTGATGTTTTTCAGAAAGTTGGATGTGTTTCAACATAGATTGTTCAGCTGAAAATAGAGAAGGGTAAGCAAACTAAGTGGTTCTTACTTTTTAAATAGAAAGCATTTATCAGGATGCTTTGTAACACTCAGATCCTATTGAAGAAAATGCAGATGATATTCATAACACGGAACATCGAGTAAAAGGTTTTTTATTGGTAACAAACTTCATTGAACACACCTTGGTACTGAATATTTTACATATTCAATCTCAGTGTTAAGGTCCTTACAATAGCCTAGTGGTTGTAGGTACAATCATTTACCAGCTTTACATAGGACTAAAACTGGGGCAGGGTAAACCTAGACCTGAGCATACAGCTTCATCTTTTTGCTGAAAGTTATTTTTAGTTTTTCAAGATTTGAAACTACGTGACACTTCAGAAAGCACAGTTAAGTAGTTTGTTTAACTTGACCATTTTCCAAAGTAGTTACCCTGCAGATTCCTTCAGTAACCTTTGATATATATGATTATGTACTTTTTCCCTTCCTTTCCTTTTAGATAGAAAAACTGAAGGCAGAATTAGATGAAGCTAGGCTAAGTGAAAAGCAGCTGAGGCACAAAGTAGATCATCAAAAGGAACTCCTTTCTAGTAAATCAGAAGAAATGCGGATGATGTCTGAACGTGTACACGAGAGTATGTCTTCTGAGGTGTTGGCTCTTCAAATTGAGCTTACCGAAATGGAGAATGTAAAGGTAATTTTTATGGCATGCACTCTGCTGTTTTCTTTTTTTCACCATGTTTTTGTAATAATCCTTAAGACCTAGTTTCAAGACTGAAATATCTTTTGGCCTAATTAAAAATGTTAATTAAAATGATTTATGGAGAATTTTAGGTGGATTGCTTTGTATATAATAAAGCTTTATTTAGATTACTTGATTATATAAGGTATACTGCGTTTAGTAGAATGAAAACTCTGGAAAAATTTAGAGATATGTTCTCTGATCCTAGCTGGTATTAATTAGAGCCCCATAGAAAATGTTGGTCCTGTGAAAATTGATATGCATATGGATTTTTTCTTATTGCATGATAAATTTAATTCAAAAAGTCTTAAATTTGTAGAAAAGAAAAACAATCTCCAGAGCGTTTTATTTGGTTTTCTGCTGAAAAGTGTTTTTATTTTATTCCTTACAATCTTTGACTCATTCTCTAGTTTTAGTTTTGGGTGTGAGCTACTGCTTAAACTCTGGGAAGCTACTGACTGTAGGATTATTTTAGAGTGTTTCCGCTTTCTCAATTCCCTTTGAATAGACCACCCTCAAAGAAGAAGTCAATGAACTGCAGTACAGACAAGAACAACTGGAACTTCTTAGTACAAATTTAATGCGCCAAGTAGACCGCCTTAAAGAAGAAAAAGAGGAGCGAGAGAAGGAAGCAGTTTCTTACTATAATGCCTTAGAGGTATTATGATTACTATAACACCATCTTTTTCAATTTATAGTAAATTATTTTCTTGTTTATCTAATCTCTATCAGCTAAGCTGGTTTTTTTTGAATTTAGAAAGCTCGTATAACAAATCAGGATCTTCAGGTGCAATTAGATCAAGCTCTCCAGCAAGCCTTGGACCCCAACAGTAAAGGCAACTCTTTGTTTGCAGAGGTACTTACAAATAGTCCATTGATTAAACTGACATTTCATATAACACAGAATAATTAAACTTGTTAATATTTTCTAGGTCGAAGATCGAAGGGCTGCAATGGAACGTCAGTTTATCAGTATGAAAGTCAAGTATCAGTCACTAAAGAAACAAAATGCATTTAATAGAGAGCAGATGCAAAGAATGAAGGTATTCACTTATATCAACAAAGGTTTATCATCTATTTCCTAGCAATATTACATTATAAATATCAACAATATTTCCTATGCAAATAGTTACTTGCATAATTATTTCTAGAACCTCATTATTTTACAAAAAGATAGCAATGCATTTGAATTGGGCAAAAGATAATTTAAAAAATCAATCCTGGAATAAAGATTTAGTAGTAATATATTTAGCATCCATTGACTCATCTAATTTTTTAATAATTACTCAGCAGCTTTACTGAGGAAGTTTATAATCTATTCATTTCTTTTCATTTCTTCCTGTTTGCTAGTATCTTTTTGAACACAGCCTTAAGGTTCCTATTTCAACCAAAAATAACTCCCCATTCTTCAGTTCCCCCTGAAGGCTTATTATAGAGTGTATTTGGATTATTCAGTATCCCCTTTTCTTGAAGTTCCTTAAATCAAACATATTGGCCCTTTTATATTTAATTAAATTTTAGTCCAATAGGCAGTAATAGAAAAACATGGGAATTAGAAAAATTGTACATTACCTTGAAGAACCTTCATCCCTGGTCTATTGTGCCCAATTCTTCCATGGTGGTAACTAAACATTGAAGATATTCCTTCTTTTATTTAGGATGAGATTTATCAAATATCTAGAAAAGGTCAGTGATTAAAATTTGAAGTCAGATGAACTTGAAATTCATTCCTAGTTCTGTCATTTTCTAGTTTTCTTTGACTTGGGACAAATATATTTTTTTTTTTTTTAATTTTTTTTTTTTTTAATTTTTTTTTATTTTTTTTTTTAAAAGGCTTTTTTTTTTTTTTAAAGATTTATTTATTTATTTGTGCATACAGAACTGGGGTACAGGCCAGAGGCTCAGGGGCGGTGAGAGGCTTCACCAGAGACAGAGTGGGGAGCAGAACAGGCAGATCGACGAAGTACACTGCTGAGGGAAGCAGTGGGCGGGTCAGGAGAGGTCTGGCTCGCCATGTGGTCTCCTCCGGGGCAGGCAGCAGGCGGGAATCGAACTCATGCGGAAGTGGCTTCAGATTCTCGGTGCTGTGCTTTAACCCGCTGCGCCACCAGGGAGGGCCGGGACAAATATTTTAACTGTTCAGTGTATCAGTCACCTTATTTTAAAGTGGAGATGATAGGACATGACTTGTAAAGTTGTACTAGAGTTAAATAAAAGCATAGTGATAACTAACTTATATGGGTGCTTGGCAAGTAAGAAAAAGTAGCGATGGCTTTTATTTCTAAGTATTTCTAGGAACTTTGCTGCTGGGTTGACTGTGCTTTTCAGTCTGGGAACATAAATTTGCTATTTGTTTTCTTTCTACTTTTGTGGAACTATTATTATTAATTTTCCCATGTTTCCCTGATAGCCCAAACTGCATTTTGAAGCAGTGGCATTCTGAATTTCCTTAGGCTAAATGTGTCTAGCCTCTAGATGGAACAGGCACAAATAAATACCTAAAAATGTTAAAAAGGGGCCCTCCCTGGTGGTGCAGCAGGTTAAAGCACCGCACCAAAAAGCTAAAGCCACTTCCGCATGAGTTGGATTCTTACCTGCCCCGGAGGTGATCCACATGGCATGGCAGACCTCTCCTCATCCACTTGCTGCTCCCCTCAGCAATGTACTTCATTGATCTGCCTGTTCTGCTCCCCACTCTGTCTCTGGTGAATCCTCTCACCGCTCCTGCACCTCTGGCCTGTACTCCAGTTCTGTATGTACAAATAAATGAATCTTTTATTAAAAAAAAAAGTTAAGTCTCCCATTATTTTTGTAATCATACCTGCAACCTAATCTAATTGCTTGCTTTACTTAAAACTGTATTTACATAATTGACACCTTTTAGAACTTCTGAAACTTCTGAAGGCAGAAAGGAATGCTAGTTTTACAATGCTAGTTAGTTTCCCTTTGATTGCTATATAGATATAGGTGGAGTCATAATTAGGTAATTCAGTTGTTGCTCTTAAAAAATAAATGTTTTTTAAAGACTGTCTTGATATTCTAGATTACCTTTTACCTTTACTGTTCTTGTTATTTGTGAACCTTAAGTCTGTGAACATGAATGGCTTAATAATGTTCCCCCACTATTACTAGTGAAGTTGAAATTTTTGAGCGACCCCACCAGTCTCTTTATGGAGGGCACATGAGTAGAGTACAACATTTGGGCAGGTTTGTTTATCAGTTATGTGATGTGTTTTCAGACTGTACCCATGCAGTTCAATTTTAGGTTTCATAGAAGTAAAATAATTGCTATAGACTTCCAATATCACTCATAACTAATCATCATAAGTACTTAAGTAACTATATTTGTTTATGTAAATGTTCTCAAATTAGTAGATTTTAGACTGGGAATGTTGCTGGTTAGTTTATAAAACGAGTTCAAGAAATAGATTATAAAATATGAACTTTACTGAAAATGTGCTTATCAGAGTCTTTCTCACTCAACTTATGGGTACTGGATGGTTATTTTTCTTTTTTTTCCCTAGTTACAAATTGCCACATTGCTACAATTGAAAGGGTCCCAAACTGAAATGGAGCAACAAGAACGGTTGCTGGCCATGTTGGAGCAGAAGAATGGTGAAATTAAACATCTCTTAGGGGAAATTAGAAATTTGGAGAAGTTTAAGGTATGTTTAACATCTCTGAAAGCCACAGCCACATTTTGGGTTGAATATCTTAATACTTTTAATTTCACGAAGTTCTTTTTCCCCTCAATGTTTCATAGTCATAACACAAGAAGGACTAGAGAAAAAGTAATTTTGTGGGTTAAAAAAAATGCCATGTTGCCAAATTAATTCTTTCTTTAAAAAAAGAAAAAAGGAACACCCAGAGCTTAACTTAGGGCTCTCAGAGGTAGTATTTCAATTCTCAAGATTCTTTGATCTCTAGAAATGACTTAATATCCTGTATACCTATGTCTGTATTCTTTCTGGATTTTTTCTTACTGGTGCTGGTCTACTTTATACAGTTTCCCCTCTGGAAATATAAACTCTATGAAAGAGAGAAAGTAAAAAGGTAATCAGTCTTGCAAATCTTTTTTATTTTTAAATAACCCACATCTTAATATGAAATTAGAAATTAATTTTTTAACTTTGAGGAAGTACTTGGCATTTCTTTTGATCACCTTCACTAACCCCACAAAGCCTTAGCTGGAACAATCAGTTTTTACTCTGCATCAGTGAGGTTGTTGTCTCTTTAAGATTCCACATATTAGAAATTATGGTATTTATCTTGTCTGACTTAGTGCTATGCCCTTAGCATCTATCCATGTGTTCCAAAAGGCAAAATTTCTTTTTTTATGGTTGGTTTTCCATTGTGTGTGTATGTTTTTCTATGTATCTATGTGTATATCTATATATATACTGCAATTTATTCATCTATTAGTGGACACTTAGGTTGCTTCCATTTCTGAATAATATTGTGGTGAACATGGGGGTGCACATATCTTTTCAAGTAATATTGTTGTTTTCTTTGTGTCAATACCTAGAAGTAGAATTGCAGGAAAGGAAAATAAAGGTTACAATTTAGGTTAGGAATATATGCTTTGAAGACAGAGCTGAATTCACATTCTCTTCTTAGTTGATTTGACTGTGGTTAAGTTAGTTTCCTTATTTGCAAGAGAATTCTCTTCTGTTAATTTAATTTTATTTTTAAAGATTTATTTGTTTATGCATATAGAACTGGGATACAGGCCAGAGGTTCAGGGGTGGTAAGAGGACTCACCAGAGACAGAGTGGGGAGCAGAACAGGAATATCCGCAAAGTACATTGCTAAGGGGAGCAGTGGGTGGGTCAGGAGAAGTCTGCCCCATGCAACATGTGGCTCACCTCCTGGGCTGGGGATTGAACTTGCACTGAAGGGGCTGTGGCTCACTTGCAGTGCTGTATTTTAACCCGTTGTGCCACCAGGGAGGACCGGAGGATTCTCACTCTTACACCTATTTTAAAAGGTAAATAAGTAGACAATGTTAAGCTCACTATCTACGTATTATAAATACTCAGTATGTATTATCAAGTTTTAAATAAACATCAAGTAATTTGTTATTTTAAGTAGTAGCATTTGTTTTCTTTTAGAGTTTATATGAAAGTATGGAATCCCGACCTTCATCCAACTCTGGTGTTGTAGAAGATAACAGCTACTATACAGATTTACTTCAGATAAAGCTTGACAACTTAAAGTAAGTATCTGGACTGGATGATAGAAAGATGGTGACTCTGGACTTGCTTAATAATAAATAGCTACTACATAAATTTTTTTAGGATAAAAATCAATTTAAAATTCAGGAATTTACACATGCATACATGTTTATTTTTATTTCTATTAAAAATGCATGACTTTATTTTTTATGTGAACGTGGTTGTTAAAATTTATTTTAATTGCTTATTGTCTCTTTGTTACTAAAACCCAAGGAAATATATTTAAATTGAGATCAGCTATATGAATTACACTTATTTATACACTCCTTTATATTCATTGGTTTTCTGTTTTTATTAATGTAGCAAAGAAAATGAAAACATTAATGGTGAATTGTCCATACAAAGAATGAGAGCGCTATTTGAGAGCCAACGGGCTCTGGATATTGAACGAAAACTTTTTGCAAATGAAAGATGCCTCCAGATTTCCCAAAGTGAAAATATGAAACTGAGAGCTAAACTAGATGAATTAAAACTGAAGTATGAACCTGAAGGTATCAGTGTCTCATATATTTTATCTTTAAAATCATAGGAAACTGAAAAATCATATTAACTTTTCTTCTTCCTACAGCCATGCAACTCTTGTTATAAAGTAGTCTGTGACTATGTATCTATAATAAATAAAACAAATTTATTGTTACAAAATGTACAGAAAAATTCAAAGAATTGCATACTGGGTGTATATAAATTTAATCGGTTTTCTTCCTTTTGGATATCTGTATAGCATCTTGATGTTGGTGATTTTTCCAAGAATTGTAGCATCTTATTCAATACCAAAGCATTAATGTGATACCAAAGAGCTCAATTTTATTGAGGCATTTAATGTTGAAGCCTAATAAAAGGGAAACTTAAACAAGATAGATATTTATTCCTTTCCTTGGTGAAAATCTGGAGAAGGCATTCCAGGACTGGTCACAGTGTCAGGTCCAGACTCCCTTTGCATTGTTAATCATCATACATCAACTTGAACTGAATTTGGTCACGAGGCCATACTTGCCTACAAGAAAAACTGGAAAATTCAGTTTTCGGTTTCAGGTGCCAGGTTTCCAGTTAAATCCTGGGGATCATATTAGGAAGAAAGATAAATTTGACAGATAATAGAAGATGACTAGCAAGTCTATTCAATGAAGTAGAAAATAGTCTAACCCTGTAGGTTCTGTATTTTATGCACTAGAAAGCATCAATTTTATTGTATCTAAGTTTAAAAATAAAAAGCTAAAAGTAACAAGATCTAAAAATATGGTTCTTAAATCAAAAGAAGTGTTGATTTACATGTTTTGAGTTATAAATTTTCAGCCAGTTCATGTCCTGTGATGTTCACATGCATAAGACTGAAGCTTTATTATTGTCCCAAAAACTAGATAGATTCTCAGTAGTGGGGAGGATGTCAGTAGTAAGAGGGATTTTTATAATTTAAAAAGACATCTCTTTTGTTCTTTTCGCTGATTTGAATAACCTCTCCATTATAAATTTCAAAGGTCTGCAGAACTGAATACAGCAAAGAGACAGGACAGGGTGTAGTGAATCCAAATCATGTGAGTTTCAAAGTAGTAGTGCACTACAAAGAGGAAACTTCTTAAAAACAGAGTAGAGCAGGAATAGCGCTGCACATCTGATCATGTACAGTTCACTAACATTTTGATTTTGGAAATGAAAGGCACATTGGTGTGGGGATAGTGAAAAGATATTAGAGCAATACATTAACGACAATGTTTATGGATAGTGCATGCATAGGGATAGAATGGTGTGTTAGTCAATTGAGATGGAATACTATCACATTAGTCTGTAGTGAGACATACTGTGGTATGAACTGGTGAGATATTTCATGATAGAAATCCTTAAATTTTGACTATATTTTGTGGTGGGACAAATGGACTATATCCAGAGAATTTTATCTTTTTTTTTCCTTCCCACATGCATTACTAAATGAAGTATAGGTGATGTTAGTCTCCAGTTTGAAGGTAAAAAAATAAAGCTCATAGAAGTCCAGAATTTCTCAAATTGCTAAGCTGAAAAATTCTAGTACTAGGGTTTGTACCTGGATTTCCTAACCTTTAGGTGCTGTATCACTTTTCATTTCCATGCTGAAATCTTATGAACCTCCCTATTAACTTTTACTAGAATACCAAAATAACATTTTAAGTGTTTTCATTCCTAAAACCAAATACATTGAGTTCATAAAGAAAAATTTATAACCAATCTTTAAAAGATATAGTTAATGAAATTATTGAAAAGGAAAGGACTACAAATAATACATTTCGCTATGGAGATGAGTAGGTTTTAAAAGATAGGAAAGATAGGAAAAAAGAAAAAATATAACTATTTGTGTCTTTGTTTTAATTGATTGACTGGATATATTTTTAATGGTTTTCATTTTTAGAGAAAATTGAAGTGCCTGTGCTCAAAAAGAGGCGTGAGGTACTGCCTGTGGATATAACTACCCCTAAGGATGAATTTGCCAATAGTGCCATTGGGGAAGATGATTATAGAATACCACCTCAGAAGGAGGAGGCAAAGTCCTGTCTGAGCAATTTAGAAAATAACTCGCAATTAGAAAAGACAGCTCCTGTAAACACATCACAAGTTAATTTCTCTCCTCACAAAAACCTGCCTATGGATACACAACCAGTAAAGGAAAAGAAATGTGTGAAACTTATAGGAGTTCCAGCTGACTCTGAAACCTTAAGTGAAAGAAGTGGAAACACGTCTAACTCTCCCAGGTCAGTGTTTTCTTTTCTTCAAGGCAGTGAGCAGACCTCTGCATCTCTTTTCTATCACTGCATGAATTGTGCTATTTGTTTCTTTGTCTATTTCCTTAGTATTGCTTGCAATATAATTCCTCAATTTCATCTACCTATGTTTGACTTTTATAAAACTTTAAGAAAAACTGAAATGACTGCAAGGGTAATGGATTCCTGAATCAAATGATTTTTAAGTTACACTCTTCTGTTTCTTGAAACAGAAATATCACAGGTCTAGTGCATCTTTCAATGTTTTGATTTGATTAAAGATGCTGGTTTTTGTTTTTAGGATTTTTTTTTCTGGCTCAGGAGAACTTAAAAGAAAAATTAACTTATCTTCTAAGAGGGTTGACCAGTAGTCTTAAGACTTTTGTGTCATAGAAAACTTACGTGAAATACTTAATGCCTTTTGAAATTGTTTATCCTAAGCTTTGGTGGATGGGTTTTGATACTTATTTTAATATCTTGCACTAAAACCTCAAATCCTCTAATTTTGCATATTGCATTGGTGAGTTAAAAGAGGAAGTGTTAGACATGCATAACTGTAGGAATTGATGAACCTTTAAAGAAGTGAATAATGATCAAAAGGTAAGAGCAAGGAAGTGGAAGGAAAAGGTAGGTAATAGTGACTGAAAGCACAGGTTCTGCAGCTGTACAGCAGGATCTGACTAGGGTAAGTAAAACGGTGAAGTAGGAACTTGGACTATAAAAAAATAAAAAAGATTAAAAATGACTGTAGACTATGAAGAGATAAATGCATTTAAAATAAATATATACATTGAAAAATAAAACTGATGTGAAAATTGCTTAAAATATCTCTAATGAAAGGAGGTATTTAAGATCCTATATTTCTTATATCCAGTGTTGTAAACCATTGTTACCTCAAGTTGGAAAAAAAGAAAGGTGGTGCTAGGGCACCTTAGAGGGGACAAAATAAGGTATTTTACTCGAGTGTATACTTGAATTTTTTTTTTCTTTAGATTTATTTATTTCATAGAAGAACTGGGGTATAGGCCAGGGGGTTTGAGGTGAGGGGATTCACCAGAGAAAGAGTAGGGAAGACAGTCATAATTTACTAAAATACAATGCTTTAGGGGAGCAGCGGGCCAGACAGGAGAGGTTTGCTGTGCCATCTGTGGGATTGCTCCCTGGCCAGGAATCAAGCTCAGATCATAGCAGTGCACTGAGACTTTACCTGTAGGTCACCAGGGAGGCCTTCCTATACATTTGAACTGAGTAAGATGTAGCCCAACTTTGGTGAAAGGACTTTGTATGTTTTATCTGATTTTTTTTTTTCAAGATTTATTTTTTATTTATTCATATAGAACTGGGGTACAGGCCAGAGATGCAGAGGGTGAGAGGATTTACCAGAGACAGAGCGGGGAGCAGAACAGGCAGATCACGAAGTACACTGCTGAGGGGAGCAGCGGGCAGGCCAGCGGAGGTCTGCCGCACATGTGGTCACCTCCAGGGCAGGCAGGAATCGAACTCATGCAGAAGTGGCTTAAGTTTCTTAGTGCTGTGTTTTAACCAGCTGCACACCAGGGAGGGCCTTATGTGATTTTTTAAGTCTTTAGTGCCACTAAAGTAGTACTCAACAGTGAAAGTGCTTCAACTGTGTTAGCTGCTATTATTAAATAATTTAAAAGGAATGATTATTACTTTGTTCTTGAATTTTTATTAATAAAGTTATAGCCTACAAATAGCATAATATAAAATGATATTCTCAAGGAAAAAGAACTGTAAGTGATTGGAATCACAAGTGAGTGTGCATAGTTGTAGAGTTCTGAGTAAATTCAATAGGTTATTTGTATATATGTGAGCTTATATTGTGCTTGGCCATTGTGTATTTCTGGAATTGGCTTTCCATAATTGGGTAGTACAAACCTTGCCATCTGTGTTATCTTCATTTCTTTTTCTGCTTTTTTTGCTTGAAGAAATTACTTAAGCAAATGTATATAGCTACTAGTTTGACATAAATTAAGTAGCACATTGGAATTTTTTTGTCTTGACAGTTAAATAAAATGCCCCAAAACATTTGTTTTTGTGTATGTGTGAGTCCATCTGCTAACTTAAGATACTTAATAGTCTGCATGACTAACTTAGATACACAATCCTATGAAAATATTGTAACAATATTAAATACGGGTTTTTGGTACCACACTATTACATGCTTTACAAATTTATGATCTATAACATATCTTCATAGTCCATTAAAAATCATCTCTCCACTGCTTATTCTTAAATTATTATTTTGCTAGTCAAAATTCAGGTTTTGTTAATGAGACAGACAAATATTCATACATACCATAGTTTATCATGAATTTGCATTTTGTATCTTGATATTAAAATAGTATGCCAGCATTTTAATATTTTTTTCAGGTGTGTTTATAATAGGCATCCCATTATATTTTAATTTAGGCTTTGGTGTTAATGTTTTATCAATTTAAATATATTTCTTTAAATGTTAAAAATTAAGTACTGATATATAAAAGATTTTTTTTATAGAGACAGTCACTTAGTTTCTTGGTAGTAGTGAGTGGCTAACTACAATTATTTTCCTTGTATACATAAAAGAAAATTATATCTCGTTAGGGACCCATTATACTAGGGGATTGTTGCTTCTGTAATTTTACTTAACCACATTTGAATTTAGAGTGGATGCTTTAATGCCTATAGGTTAGCTGCTGAATCAAGGCTTCAAACAGAAGTTAAAGAAGGGAAGGAAACTGCAAGCAAATTGGAAAAGAATACTTGTAAGAAATCACACCCTATTCTATATGTATCTTCCAAATCAACTCCAGAGACCCAGTGTCCTCAGCAGTAAAGACTTTTCCTTTAATGAGAGTAAGATACCACTTGCTCAAAAGGCTATTTTGAAGCTTACTGTCTGTATCTGAAGTACACTAACTTACAGGTTATTTCATTCTGCTTATTGTGCCAGGAACGAGAATTTTTATACTTCTTTTACCAAGAGTCAAAATTTGGTTGTGATTCTATCTAGAATTCCTTAAGAGGACCCTTCATGGAACATCCTTGAATCAGTGTGAAAAAACTACTAACTGAATTACCATCAGTCTGTTTGTAACATTGTGATGAATTTTTAAGCAGTATTAACATACACCTTGAGAACCTTCTATTGAACAGAGAACACTGAAATCTGAATTACTATATTTTATCTGTATACTTTTTTATGCTGAATTTTCACTATGTTATAAAAGTATCTATTTGGTTTAAAAATAATTTAATTGTAGCTGGGTTTTGTCAGTGTTTAAAGTGCCTATATTCAACTTTATGTTTGTGATTTAAATTTTATATCTCAGCTTATGAAAAAATTTTGAAATTTAAAATAAACTTTCAGTAATTTATCCCTTCTATTTTCTTACTCTGCATAGATAACAGGTTGATTAAAAAGGGAAAAGAAACATCTCAGAGAGGTTAAGTTAATTGTTCAAGGGCCCAGGCGTTAGTAAAAATGGAATGAAGTAATTAACAGCATAGTGTACATAACGCTATGGAAAACAAGAAGGGAACAAGAAACTCTCTGGAAACTCTTTATATTTTTTGTCATCTTTAATATTATTTCATAGGTATCCTAAAGCCAAGGATAGAACAAATAGTTGTTGAAATTATAAAAGCAGGAAACATTAATTATGCAAATTGAAGACTTAGAAATGACTGAGTATACAGAGCTTTGTAAAGCAGTAATAGTAAACTGAATTTGAAGAGACACCTAGGAGCAAAGTCATGAAGAATGAGAGTCCAGCAAGATGGCAGGCAGCAAAGTGAAGGTCCAGAGTTCTTTTCTTCTAGGTGCACACACAAAACAAGGACAAAAACACCTGAGGGAAAACCTGGCTGTTGGTCTGTATAATAGAAGTATCAACTCCACAGAACAGCACAAGCAAAATTTTTAAGTAAACATAATATAAAGTAGTAATGGAGCTGTATGTGACCCATGAGAGGGAGAAATGGCCTACTGCAACTACTGACTTGAGTACATACCAACACTGGGACTCTTTAGACCCAGCACTGCACTTAATAAGGGGGTGCATAAACAGATACCCAAAAGATAGGGTTTGTTGTGGAAGAGCTACAGAGGTGAGGACAAGAGTGTGGACTGCTGAGTCTGAGATCCATTACACAGAATAATTGCAGCCAGAATCAGGCCAGAACATATGGTCTTCCTTATAGAAAAGACTGCTTCAGAGGGGTCCAGGCTGAAGTATTTGAAATACCTGCTAGACCCAAGATGAGACATCCAAAATACCCACTGCCACTATCAAAGGGAGAGGTACCTAAAATACTGCGCCCTTCCCCCTCCCACACACAAATAAACACTTTTACAAAAGGAATTTCAAATTTCTTACTCTACTGGAAGTGTACCTTTAATGCCTTTTAGCTGAGACCTCTTTTTAAATCTCTAGCTTTCACTGAATCACTCTACTGACTACAACAACTACAAAAATATACTTGAAAATTTATTAAAACCCATGCAAATTAAAAAAAAAATAGGAGGTAATACAAATGGCAGAAAAGGAAAAAACATGAAAGGAGCCTCTACTTAGTGGATTGCAGAGCATAACAGAATTCAAGACAATGTACCTGGAAATGTGGTTGAGTATATATATAAAGGAGAACATAAACAGCAAAATAAAGATAATGAAGATGTTTATGAACATAAACAGCAAAATAAAGATACATTCAGAAAAATATTTAAGAAACACTACATCTGATTTTAAAAATAGAAGTGAGGGCCTTAATAGAAAAACAGGAACAATGAAAAGAATGAATAAAAAAAAAAATCCTGGAGAACACAAGACAAAGTAGAGAAAACAATTAAAATGAAGACATTATGAAAGCTCTCTTGGATAACTTTAAAGAGAAGTTACGTACCCTGGGGTTCCCAGAAGGAGACAGAAAATCTATAATCACTGAAATTAATCTTGGTCTGGCACATGACCCAGAAGTTTTGAACCAAGAGGTCGAAACAAAATAATACTGAATACATACACCAAGATATTTACAAAGCTTTCAAAAACTAATGATAAAGTACAGAATATTAAAAGTATTAAAAGGGGGGAGGGAAAAAAGGTAATTTAAAGCAATATCATCCAGATGTTGCCAGCAGACTTCAAAAGAAAAAGTCCCCCAGCCTAGAATCCTCTACCCAGCAAGAGTATCAAGGTAGGAGAAAGAATCAGGGGAAAAAACTGAAAGAATTTTTGAATGTCCCAAGCCACACATGAAAAAAATTAAACAATGAATATCAAAACCAAAAGTACCTCAATTATTTAATATGAGGGAGGAAGAAAGTGATAAAGTGGCTCATTAGAATCAGGCAGAGATCAGACCATTCAGTGGGTCATACAGATAGTTTATTCACTTCAGTAGAACCCTCAAAAAATAATTACCAATACACATAAGACAGGAAATGGAACCCAAACAAAACATAAGCCCCTAAAAGAATAAAAAAAAAGGGGTGGGCTAATAAACACTTATATTTCAGTAATCACCTTAAATGTAAATGGCTTAACAGTCAAAAGATGCAGAGTAGGTCAATGGATTTTCAAAACTGCTATTTACAAAAACACACCTTTCCATCAATTAGAAGCACAGACTTAGAATAAAAAATTGGGAGATATGGCCCTCCCTGGTGGTGCAGCGGGTTAAAGCACTGCACTAAGAAACTTAAGTCACTAATGCATGAGTTCGATCCCCGCCTGCCCAGGAGGAGATCCACATGGTGTGGCAGACCTCTCCTGACCTGCCCGCTGCTCCCCTCAGCAGTGTACTTTGTCAGTCTGCCTGTTCTGCTCCCTACTCTGTCCCTGATGAATCCTCTCACCCTCTGCATCTCTGGCCTGTACCCCAGTTCTGTATGAATAAATAAATCTTTAAAAAAAAATTGGGAGATATTTAAACAAATGGCAATGTCTGAAAATCAGGAACAGCTATACTTACATCTGATAAACTGTACTTTCAAACAACAAAAGTAAAAGGAGGAAATGGAACCTTATGATTAAATGTCTAATAAAACATGTACAGAATGATGGAGTATCAAGATATATAAAAAACAGTAACAGAATTTAAGAGATATTGATAACAGGAAATCTTAATATCTCACTAACAACAATGGAAAGTTCATCAAACTTTTTATTAAGCTTTTAGTTTTCTTACATTGTTCATTTTTGTAAAATATTTTATACAAATTTTTGTTTATTTTGTACTGTCCTCAGGCATTCCCCATGAAAATCTCCCACCACCACATCACCCTTGGACCACTACCATGATCCCTTGTGCCCTCTCCTCCTGTTTTGAAACTGTCTCCTCCCCCTCCAATGCTCTATGCATAAGATCTATAATTTTCCTTTTTGTCTTTTGTCTTTTTTTACCCTTTATTCAGTTCCCCTCTATTCTGTAAATGAAATCATATTTTTCTTTATCCTTATGACTTATTTTACTGAGCATGTTTTCTAGCTCCATCAATGTTGCTGCAAATGGCATGAGTGTCTTTTTGATTGCCGAGTAGTATTCCATTGTGTATAACTACCACATCTTCATCCATTCATCTGTTTTTGGAAATTTAGATTGTTTCCATAACTTAGCTATTGCAAGTAGTGCTGCAGTGAACATAGGAGCACAGGTTTTCTTTTAATGTTTTTGTGTACAAGACAAGCTTTAAATAAGGAAACTGAAAGGTTTAAATGAGGAAGAGAAAGTAGACCAAATAGGTTAAACATCTGTAGAACACTTACTTAACCCCAAAACTACTGCATTAGCTTTTTTTTTTTTTTTTTGAGTGCACATGGAACATTTCAGGATAGACCATGTCTTGGGATCTAAATCAACTGTTGATAGACACAAAGATTCAAATTATACTTAGTACTATGCCATAAAACTAAAAGTGAACTATAAGAAGGAAGAGAAACAGAGAAAATATGAATGCATGGAGATTAAGCAACACATTTAATAGTAATTGGATAAAATCAAAGCAAATTAAAAAAATACCTTGAGTTGATGAAAGTGATGGTACAAATTAGCAGAATATAGAATACAACAAAAGCAATCTTAAGAGAAAACCTACTTGCAATACAGGCCCATACTTAAAAACAAGAAATTGGGGGGTAAATCAAGAACAATACCAAACAGCCTAATACCAGACCTACAGTTACTTCAAATAAGAACAAACAAGATCTAAAGTGAGTAGAAGAAAATAAATAGTAAAAAAGAAAAGCATAAATTAATAATATAGAACAAAAATTATAAAATTAATTAAACTAAGAGCTGGTTTATTGATCTCTGTTTGAAGATAAACAAATTAGTCAAACTCATAACCAGACTAAGGAGAAAGAACAATGGAAATCACAAGTGAAAGAAGAGAAATGACTAGAGACAACAGAGAAATAACAATACTTGGTAAGGTTATTATGAACAACTGTATGTCAATACAATAATCTTAAGTAAATGGATATATTTTTAGATCAATATAGTCTAAGAAGACTAACCCAGGAAAAACATGAACTGAACAAACTCATCACAACATGGAAATAGAAACTAATAAGGTATTTTACAAAAATTAATAAATCCAGTATCAGATGGTTTTACAATGAATTTTATCAAATATTTAAAGAATTAATGCTCACCTTGCTCAGTTTTTTTTTTTAATATAAGAAGAAATCCTCCCTGATGTTTTATGATCCCAACAATTCAATAATACATCACAAAGATTATACACCACTATTAATTGGGATTCACCACAGGCATGAAAGGATGGTTTAATATAGATTGTTATGTAATATATCAGCAAAAGTAAATATAAAATTCACATAAAATTACAGGTGGCAGGGCCCTCCCTGATGGCGCAGTGGGTTAAAACACTGCACTAAGAAGCTAAAGCCACTTCTGCATGAGTTCGATCCCCGCCTGCCCCAGAGGAGATCCACATGGCGTGGCAGACATCTCCTGACGCACCCGCTGCTCCCCTCAGCAGTGTACTTCATCAATCTGCCTGTTCCGCTCCCCACTCTGTCTCTGGTGAAGCCTCTCACCCTCCACATCTCTGGCCTGTACCCCGGTTCTATATGAATAAATAAATAAATCTTTAAAAAAAATTACAGGTGGCAAAAGCAGATGATAAGATACAATCTTTATAATAAAACTTCTAAAGATGAGATTAGGAGTCTCAATATAATAAAAGGTCCTATATCACAAATCACTAGGCAAT